GAAAGTTGTATAAAACATGTGTAGAGAACGTTTATTATTGGCAAATATGTTGTGTTGTCTTTTTTATTGATTTAATCGGATTTGTGTCGAACGCAAAGTATGCATACAAAAGTTTACAAATATCTCACGCTGACCACATTCGTTTTAATATTATTTCTACAACTTAATCAATATTTAACACAGTTCATTAATTACTATTTCAATATACATGAATGGACCAAAACAAAAATAATGCGACGATGTTGTATTGGAATTGAAAATAGGAAAAAACAAAAAAAAAATGGACGTCAAGATTTAAATTCCATCTGCATAAACTAAAGCGGTTCTGGTTCTCGTAAATTCAGTATCAAGATGCAAATGAGAATTGGTAACAGGAAAAATTTTATTGTTTTCCTTAGAAACTGTTCCATAGCCTGTCAAAAATTTGAAAACAAATGTTTATATAGAAAAATTAGAATATATAGAAAAAATTTTTTTCTGAAAAATAAATGAAATTGCTTCTCCTCTTTACAAAAGAAATGTGATATCTACAGACGTTCGCAACCCTGGAGCCGTGGTTTTCTTGAAAATTACTTATTTTCTGACATTTTTTATAGAAGAGTTACTTTTTTCCAGTTGGTTTCAAAATAAATTTCCGTGTGCGTCCCTACATTTGGCCGAAAAGGCTTCTAATAATAAAACCCAAATTACAAAAGATGAAGCAAGGTTTCAATTTTTTCATGCAGAATTTAAAGAACTGCCTGTGCTCATTTAAAATCGTAGACCACAATGTATATGGTGTTATGCTGCACCCTAATATGGGGACAGCAATGATATGATACATTTTCAATATCAACAGAGATGCATACAACCGCCTCCCCCTCCCTTCTTCTTTCATACGTCTTTGAGTACCAACAATTCTCAATTTTGTCAAATATCGAAGACTTTACTTAAATATTGGGATTAAGGTTTTCGCTGAATACTCCAAAGCCTTTCCGGCTGCATAGATTTTATAGCTTAGATCTGACAATCCCGCACAGTTTGACGTCATTGAATTGGCTATGATATTAAAATTTTAAAATAAAAAAAAACCTTTTCCAAACTTTCAAGGTAAAACCAGGCCCTTTATATGATTTCCCAATCAAATGTCGCCCCAAAATTATGTTTCACGGTCATCCGTTTATCTTTGCCAGAAGTGAATACCTAAAAAAAACAGCAGCCTGGTCAAGAAGTTAAGAACAATGAGATACTCATTACTTTTTTCTACTCATATGCTAATATGCGATCTATTTACCTATACAGGGAATCAAGCCTTTATTGACTGAAAATCAAATACTGAGGGATTCAAATACTGGGGAAAATTGATTGGCGAATATTGTCATATGGCAATCTGATCTAAAGATGTAAGACTCAATAAGCCCTCCATTATTACAGTGCATTGGAGCAATGGATATGAAGTAAATAAAGAGATCCAATACAGTTTCGAGGGTAAAACCGCTGCAAGGCAAACAGATGCAGAAAAAAGACCGCAGGACAACGAATTCGTTATCTACATAAAATCTATGCTGTCATTTCGATGGGGGTGCAAATTTCGCTATGTAAAAAAAGCAATATTTAGAAGTCTTTGGACAGCACTTTTGAATTACAAGTTATTCAGTCAAAGACAAGCCAAACGTGTAAAAATTAAAATTTTTTAATGCAAAAGTACAAAGAAGTTCAGTATTGTAAACATTTTGGAGGGGTACCGCCCATCCGTCTGTCCATGTTAAATTGTAATCACGCGACCTACAAATTGTGGTCCGATGTTCACCAAATTGGGATTAGGGTCAAATAGAAATTTTTGGTTGAAATACACTAAAAATATTAAATTTTCCTGATTTTTTTCTACGGGTCACAAGTAAAGACCACTATTCACGGAATTTTTCATGAGGTTACAATTTAGGGCAGAGCAGAAGCCTAGCATTTTGAATGAACATTCGGCCGGGCCGAACTTTTAAAACCCTCTACCATTTGGAAGGAACTTGAAATATTTCAACAAAATCCGAAAAATACAGTTAAAATGATGAGCTTTATATGGGGGCTATACGAAGTCGTGGACTTGCATTAGTAATTGTTTGTTATAGGCTGTAGTGCCCATTAAGATCTTCAAATACACAATTTGAAACAATTCCGTCGAATAATTTCGCCAAAAATCATCAGAATACCAAATAAAAGGAGGTACCGTTGTATGGGGGCTATACGAAGTCGTGGACATGCAAAGAGTTTTTTTTTTTTTTTTGCATAGGCTGTAGTACCCATTACTAACTTCAAATACCAAATTTGAAACAATTCTCGTGAATAATGTCGCTAAAATCATCAAAATAGCGAATATCGGGAGGTATCGTTATATGGGGGCTATAACAAAACGTGGACCGACATGGCTCATTTATGAACTTAACCTGCCTACTGGCAAAATACATATGTGTGCAAAATCTTAGCCTTATATCTCAATTCGTTCGAAAGATAGCGTGATTACAACAAACAGACAGACGGACATCGCTCATCCTTTATGGGGTCTATCATGAATATGTCAAGGAGTTACAAACGGAATGACAAAGCTAATATACCTTCCATAGTATGGTAGAGGGTATAAAAATCGGGCAAAAGGGGGGTTTTCCAAAATATTACAAAGTTGCAGGGTCACACAGTCAGCCTTGCACGACTAAAGCCTTTGCTTACTTGTTTACTTATATTTTTATTTTTCCATAAGGAAGAAAATTTTCGTCTAAGGAAGAAATTGTTTTTTTTATATATATAAGAGCTACTTTGCGCGTTGGACCAATCAACTCATGTTGTAGTTGTAATTCTCCTTAACACTGCACTCGAGCATGATTGTTGCACAGCATTATTTAAAACACGGCATTTCTTTCTGGTCGTGGAAATTTAGGAAAAATTGTCGAGATTCGCCAGCCTTTATGATGCTTATTTCAAAAAGTCCATCCCAGCTGATATGTACATTGAAAAATATATATTTAAATTTATTCCATTTAAACTTAAATTTGCATCAGCAACCAATTTCCACGTGGTCTTCTTATACTTTTTAATATTAACTAATTCTAACAATGTTTTGAAACCCCTTTGAATTTCCGACAGTTGTATTACATATTTGTATTAAGAAGATTATGTGCTATACTACTTGATTAATCAATCAATTTATTTTTCTTTTCATTTATTTATTTTGTTGTTTCCTAATTAATTTTAATATGTAATTGATTTGTACACAAAATGTTGTCAATGAATGTAATAAATTGTTAATCAATTACATCAGTGAGACGCGACATTGTTTGCATTATTAATTACAAAAACAAAACAAAAAAACTATATTGAAAAAACACACACACACACACACTTTTCAATAAGTATTTAATATTAATGGAACTTGACATTGAAATTGTTCTTTTCGCTATATTATGCACTTTATTATCAGTTGAGCGGCATGGCTGCTGTAACCTATGGTCTCAATATAAAGTCAGTAGGAATTGGATTTCTAATGAGATTCAATGTGAATAAATTGTTTAATAAATTCATACTGACACTCAGACTTAGTCCTATCTATAACTGAGCTTTGCAAATTATACCCCACCACTAGCACCAACCCATTATTTTAAAGATAGAAGTAGTATTTTCTAACCAGTAAAAGTCAATAACTTTGTATTTATAGAACAATTGTTTGTGGCTAAATTCGTTAAATTAGTACTTATTTAACTGAATTTTTAGTGGCCAACATATATCTAAATATTTAGTCATGGGTTGGTAACCAGATTTGTAACGTGCACTCTTCCAGAGCAATAATGAGTAGCTGTTACATAAAATAGTTTGATAGTGACATTTAAACTCAATGGACAAGCTTTTACTTTAAAAATATCCCTGAAGATGATTTCCGGAGGAAATCGAAATATTGGATAAATAAAAATAGGAAAAATTCAAAAATAAAAAACATTGTTTTTTAATGACCTTAAGCCAAGCAATTAACCAAATAAGTAAAAAAAAAATTCGAAATTTCAAGAGTTCTGAAGTTTAGGTGGGGCGTAACCCCACGTTAAGACAGAGATTAGGCTGAGCATCAAATTTGGTAGGGAGCGTTGGCTTTGCCGTTACTGGTTTTATTGAATTTAATCGAAATTTATGAAAAGACAGCAATTTTGAAAACGAAACAAGCAAATCGTTTGGGGACATCTTCGATAGAATTTTTGTACATTGAAATATTGAAAAATAAGCTCGGGGTAAAGCCATTGAAATTCCAAAAAGTGCAAGAACTTACACCGCAACAGAAGAAAATAGACTCAAAAGAGCTAAAGAGTTGCTTCGCTTGGCGGAAAGTGGTGAATTGCCGAATTTGATTTTTTCCGATGAGAAAACATTCGTTGTCCAGCAGTTTGTAAACAAACAAAATGATCTATTTACTTGACAAAGAGGTCAGCTGAAAATGTGCACCTTCGGTTGGCCACAAAAACGTAAGCGCCGGTCAGCCAAATTTTTATCCAAAATTGGAATTTTTGGAGAAAAAAAAGTAATTTTATTTTCATAAACACTTTGGAACTTTGTCAAACACTTTTCAATGACTACTCAAATATCCACATGTAGAAGTTCATCGGCAGAACAATGTGTCCAGTCAAATATTTGTTATGCTTTCTTTTTCAATACATTTCTTTGCTCTGTGCCAGAACCTGCTAGAATTCACTAGTTTTTCAATTTGTTTTCGATATCACAAAGGGAACATCAGTTTTCGTAGAAGAAAACTTTTACATTTTTGCAGTTCTGGAAGAGAAAACTTGTTCTGAAACTTTGCAAATGTAATGAAAATTTGAATTTTTGTGAACCAAAATATTTCTATTCAATACTCTTTAATGTGTCTCTGTCCATATACTTTTCTAAACCACTCAAAAGCTCATCGGCCGTACAATTTGTCGTTGCTTTTTTCAACAGAACTCGGCTTTAAAACCTCTCCCTACATTTTAAGTTCCCACAACTTCTCAACTTACCCGCATCATCATTTGATCCTTCGCTTGGTGGTCCCGTCGGTGGCATATTCTGACGATTTCCAATCATAAGACGATGCTGTATGGCTGCCGAGGCCACAGCAGCTGCAGCCGTTGTTTGAGCGGCCGAAACATTTCGCATTGCCGCACTTAGACCGGTTAAATTGGCAAAGGCATTACTTGCAGCCATTTGAGCGGCAGCGGCGGCATTTTGTGGTCCATTCGCCTCAAAACGGGGCCGACCCAAAAACGGAGCGCCCCCAAAAACGCCAGGCACACCGAATTGCAAAAAAGGATTCCATGGCGGTACACGTACACCGCCGGGAGCCAATTGAGCGGCAGCAGCATACAATTGTAGGGCAGCGGTGGGATGCAATGCTTCCGAAGGCATATTAGGCGGTACAATACCGTTGCTGCTATTGCCGTTGTTGGAAGGATTGGCCGGCGACACGGGTGACAATTGTCGGGCCAAGGGCGAGTGATGTAATTGCGGAATATTTGGATGATGTTGTGGTGAGGGAGGATGTTGCTGTGCTGCTGGTTGTTGAGTTTGTTGTTCCAAAACCATTATTGTTGCAGCAATATGGAATGGGTGGACAACGACGTTTCAAGATAACACATAAACTTATTTTGGGATTTTTTTAAGATTCACTTTCTTTTAAATTTTCAACACAAAATTGATATATTTTTTGGCAAAACTTCCGGTTTTTGGAACTTCCTGCAGTTTCAATTAATTTGCAATAAAATTATGAAATTCCATTAACGTGTGAAGTCCATCAAAATATTATGGCTGTTCTTAATCAATAGCTTCCATGCATTGAAAATGCGTTTTGTTTTTTTATTTTCAGCCACAACCAAAATTCCGAATTTTGTCATAAATATTTTCAGTGGCAATAAATTGAATTCAATAAAACTTTTTTTCACATCACACCGCGCGCTCTGCCGAAACACTCTTTATGCTTGAACTTGTTTTATTCGACTAACAGCCAAAGAAGCTGATGATGGTTTGGTATTCCTTCTGGTTTTATTGTTACGGCGGGGTGGGTTGGTTTCAAACCGGATTCCAATAAGAACCTTGATTCGAAGAGCAGATAAAACACTCGCAGTTACTTGTTTTTGTTTTTCTTTTCTCTTTCTTCTTTAGCTGTTTTTATTGGACTTAACCGCCGACGGTAAAAAGAAATTTACAGTTTCGAGCCGTTAAATGAATAACAAACATTCACAATGAAAATTCAATTTGAACTGAGAGCTGCAGCGGACACCATTCAGCCAAGTAAGCGAGTCACAAATTGTATGTGTCCAACCACCAACCACTAACCAGCCAACCAACCAACCGGCCGAACAAAAGCAACAACACCACCGCCAATGTTTCCTCCACAGCCAACAAAACAAAAACACCCATCTCCATCATCAGCCAGGAATCCAAATAGGCTATGGCATAGCGTGAGAGAAGCAGAAGTTGAACAAGAAGAAATAAAACCACCACCACCAGAGCTGAGTTATTGAAACGAATGGCAGTGTAGATTATTTAAGAGGCAGCGCAGTCGGAGCAATGATGTTATAGAGTATTTAGCAGTTGTTGTTGGCATTGTTGTAGTTGGATGTTGCCGAGAATGGGGTGTGGTGTAGACGATTGTTGCCATTGTTGCTGCATACCCAGAAACAAACCCTCCAATGATTGTCATACACACGCACACACACAAACTCACTCAAATGGCCAGCTATCTTACGGTAAGCAGAAATTCAAACTTCACATTGCCTTAAGGTTGTTGTGCTGCCGTCACAAGACTCGTATGTAGGAAAGGGAGAGTTAGTTATATAGAGCTTGAAGAGCGAAAGAGACAAAAATTCATAAAACCAAAAACATTTAATTTTATTCCTCAGGCGTCGTACATTCAATTTAACAAACACTCAACTCTATAAAAAGTTACGATTGCTCGCGACGACAATATTCGTGTGTGTGTGTCCGTGTGTCTTGTCAATGGGAGTTGGTTGTTGAAGTTTTCTTCAGCTCGGCCGGTGCAACTTTTGTCTGTCGTTGGCGTCAACCGGGCAGAGTCAAAGGTAAATGAATTCTCTGGCCATGCATAATTCATAAATTACTGAATAAAATCAATTGACGTTATTTTACTCTCTTTCTCTCTCATACGGGAGAGATAGCGTGAGGCTCTCATTGTTGGCAGCAAACGAACAATATGGCTGACGAAGATTTTAGGGAAACACGATGGAGGAGAAAAAGAGATAAATATATTTAGAAATTAAAAAAGATTTCTCTTTCTTTTTCACCCAAACGAAAAATAGTGGGAAATTGGTTTTTAGCTTGTGTTTGCCCTGTTGTGGCCTTTTAATTTATCAATTTTTACATAATTTGTTGCTGCAGAGAGGAAGAATAAACGTTCCCACAAATTGTTTTCTCCTTAAGTTTTTTAGTTGTGTGCTTTTTGCTTACCATCTCAGCTTTGTCTTGGCCATAACGTTGCGTTGACTGTAGGGCGGAGTTTTCATGATTATTTCAATTTAAGCTCATAAAATTATTATTTGTGTGCATTTGTGCTGCTATAAATTCTCTCCTCTGTTCTCTTGGGCCAAGTCTTAAATTTTCTACCAAAACGGTACAAAGAAGCAAAGCCATTGTGGGTGTTTTTGGGGCCAATTTTTTTGTTTTGTTTTGTACACAAATATATACTCCATTTATTTCAGACGACTACGTGTGTATGTACCCACAAATACCACAACAATTTATGTAAAACTTTCAATGTCTCTCTCTCTTTGTTTTTGGCATTTTGCCCAACAATCTTGGCCAAGAGTAGTGTGACTCTTGTTTTTTTTTGTTTCTTCATTATTTCATAGCTCTTTCTCTTTCTTTATAACTATCTCTTTCCCACTACCACAGGTTTATTGCCGCAAATTGGTTTGAATTGAATTTTGTTTAAATGTTCATTATGGCATTAATTGATTGATATTCTATTTATTTTGGGGGCTTTTTACTTGTGGCTAAAACGATAGCGGCATAGCAGGCAACAAGCAATCCAATGGCATGTGAGCGAGTGAATTGCCATGTCTTATGGACGATTTTATGGCAGCTGATAGCTGTTAATGGATTTATAGAAACAAAAAATAATGTAAGAGTACATTATAAAATTGGGAACTCATCTGGGAATTTGTTATGTGTAACAAATTGCCGAAATACACAACATATTTATTAAACTTAATTATTTTTAATTCTAATGGAATTTTTATGACCAATCTTTCGATGATTTATTATAAACAAATTAATTTATGTGAAGGATATTTGGTAGTAATTAATTTTAAGAGAAATTCAGATTGAATGAGTTTTCATAATTTTGTTGAGCTATAATGGTACTTCGAGATTTTTGATACTTTGAAAATTCCAGTCACAATTTCCAAAAGTAGGGAAAGGCCGTCTATATGACACCCTACACCAATATGCGTACTTAGTAGGGCTCCCGTAACAAAAAAAGTTTATATTGGGAATTTATGTGAAGTAGATCATAGCAACTATGAACCTTATTTGAATACCTGCCATGGCTTTAGAGTAGTCACAATTTGGGAACTATATCCAACTCTAAATCGATTTTCAACAAGTTTGACGTAGGCTCTTGTACCCGTAGTTCCAATTATGTTAAAAAATTCTTGTTGGAGCAATAGACCCAGTTTCAGCAAATAAAAAAATTCGCTTGAATATGAAAAAATCAATTCAATTTGGGCTGATATTACATATATGGTTAATAATAACCGTAAACATCTGAACCGATCTCGATAAAATTTGGCAGAGATATTTCTATACGATATATGGTACCAAATGTCATTGTTGTGGAGTGCATATTACGCATGTGTGGATTTTAACCCAAAACCGTATAAAACATATATATGCGAGCTTTAGCTTTATCTGAACCGATTTTCACCAAAATTGAAGTACTTGTTTCTAAGATTAATTTTGGTAAGATTCAGTTCATTTGGGCTGATATTAGCCATTTGGTGCACAATAAACCTGATATCGGATAAAGATATATATGGGAGCTATATCCAAATTTGAACCCATCTTGAAAAAATGTAGGCACTTATTTCGGAGCTGTATCTGACATCTGGAATCAGAGATCATTGTTGAGGGTGCATATTACACATGTGAGGGACTTAATCGGATGAAACTTATATATGAAACTTTATCTGAACCGATTTTCACTAAATTTGAAGTATTTTTTTTCTAAGCTGAATTCATTTGAAGTTGATACTTACTCTGGACTGAATTCGGTCGGACGTCATTCGGACTGATATTGGTCATTTGGTGCACAATTAACCCGAAATCTGTTAAATATATATATGAGAGATATATGTAAATTTGAACCGATTCTCAACAATGTCAATAGGGTTCGTCCTTGGGCCAAGCAAATATTGTTTGGAAAATTTCATCTCAGTTGGATAATAAATACGACCTGCATTTTTTTCACAAAAACACTTGGACAGACGGAAAGACGGACGGACGGACTGACATGCATCGACTCAGAAAGTGATTCTATGAAGATTTTCAGAAGTAACTATGGGTCTAGCGCGCTTCATTCTCCATGTTATAAACAAATGCAGAAAGACATAATATCCCTACCACTATGTGGTGTAGGGTATAAACATATATCGGCTTTCAGCTGCGATCGGTATATCAAACTGCCGGTATTGCCGGTTACAAATTATTGATATTGTTCTGGTTTTCTGGGTAATTGCTGAAATCTTTTGAGTTCAGTAAAGTTTCTTTATTATCTATCTGTACACATAGTCCGCATATATTGGACCCTGCAGATTTTAGGTATTTGATGCTTTGAGAAACAAATAAAAATTAATATTTTAGAAATTCACGTTCTAAGAGGATATGAATGCACTGTTTGTCGTGGCCCTCATATGTTGATATCGCTTGTGATATCCGACACTCCACTAATCCCAATTTCCAACTAAAATGGCTGCAATTTAGCATTTTGTTTTCTTATTGGATGAAATTTTGCCTTACGAAAATAAAAAATGATCTTTTTAATATTACCTACAACAACCATCTTATTGTGCACTAATTAGATTTGCTTCAATTTTTCAACGCAAAAACAAACATATTACAAAATTTATAATAGTCTTCTATATATATAAGAAGTAAGCAAAGGCTACAGTCGAGCGGGGCCGACCGTTGAATGCCCTACAACACTATAATAAATGATACAGTTTATATAGGCGAGATACTCGAAAGAATTCCACAAGATATTGTGCCAAATAATAAAGAAAACCATCAGGTTTCGTTCTCTAATTTTCGAATTATAGCAACTTAAACTAATTTGCTCATTTCCAATTTGGCTTTTGCAATGTCCGGTAACCCCCATTCAAATGTGCGCGAGGATCGGTTGATAATTACGACCTGCTGACAATTTTGCAGTTTTTTGGTCCATTTCAACCCCTAAATATATGGCGATCATCTCCAAAAAGAGTAGGCTTCTATTCTGACCCTCATCTTATACCCATGCAAAATTTCGTAAGGATCGGGCCATAAATGCGATCTGTATATGATATCCTGATATCCTAACTACTTAGTTTTGTTAGCTGTAGAAATATTACCAAATGTTTAATTCAAAATGAAAATATGCCAAAATATGACAAAATTGAAAAAATATGAGAAAATTTTAAAAAATCAATATTTTCATCTTCATAGAGATATTTTTATGCGATTTTTAGAGGTTTTTTCTTTCCTGCCAAGAGGCCATTCTGAATTAATGAGAACTGTCGAAATCAGTTCAGCCGTTCTCGACATATAAGAGATCTTTCAAGCATATCTTCTTTGATAGACATATATATCGCACATATTTCGCTATATATCCGATTTGTTGGATGTTAACATCAATGTAAAGATCAGAAGTAACCTTGTCATGGCTTTGTGATTTCGCCGGTATTTAAAATATTCGCGGTTTAATGAAACATTTTGAATTTTTTCAACACAAAATATATGGTATATTTTACCCGCTCAATATTATCCGATGACCACCCAAATTGGTAGGCTTCTTCCCCGCCCTAAACTCTAGCTACATGCGAAATTGGTCTATAATTGCGACTTGTATAGCTACTGCAAAATCCGACATTTTTTCAGTATTTGGTCCATTTCAACCCCTAAATATTATGCGATCATCTCCAAAAGAAATAGGGTTCTATTCTGACCTAAGACCCACCTCCATTCTAAATTTCGTGAAGATCGGGCCATAATTGCTACCTGTAGAGTGATTACAAATTAACATGGACAGACGGACAGACGGACAGACGGACGGACGGACATACATAGCTAGATCGACTCAGCTCGGCGAGCTAGGAAGATCCATATATACTTTCCTATATGGGAAACCAATATTTCGAGGTGTTATATAAATTCTGGCCCAATCAAACTT